GGCTCGGGTGGGGCGCTGGTGGCTCCAGCTTGGGACCTTCCCTCTGCAGATCTCCCTCAGCCTTCTTGGGGTGGCAGAGCGCTGTGGCCTCTCGCTCCCTGAGGCTTCCCTGCCTTGAAGAGGGGTCTCATCCCGCTTGGAATGAGCCCTGGAGCCCGTCACGAAGGGAGGGGACACGTCTCTGCTGCGCTGCGGAGATGGAAGGGGGGTGCACGGCGCAGCACAGCCTCCCGCCACCTTTCTCTGGGGGTGCTGGGGGCCACCACGGCAGGGTGGGTTTGGGAGGTGGTTGGAAGAAAGGGGTTTGGGGTGAGAAACCCACACAGATCTCTTCACCTTACTGGTTTTTCTTGCTCCGTAAATGCCCCTTTTGGCGTTCTTGTTGAGCGCTGTGTCTTCAGCCTGCTGTGAGACGGACCAGTGGGGTGCTAAGGATGTCACTGGGTGGGCAAACGGGGGGCTGCAGGGGAGGATGAGCCCTTGCTTGCAGTGGGGAGCACTGGCGTGGGAGGGCATGGTGGTGGCAGCTGGAGGGGGGGACGACAAGCTTGTGGCCCCAGGGTGGGCAGTGGCCATGGCGGGGAGCTGGCCCTGTGCCCCCCTGAGGCAGAGAGAAGCACGGGGGTGGGTTAATCGCCCCCCCCTCCCGCTAATAAAGAGCGCGATGATGTCACCGGCGCAAAGTCCGTGGGAGTCATACCCGGGTGGCACTGGAGGGGGGGGGGGGGGGGGGCGGAGATTCACACTCCCAGGGGTGAATGGTCTGGCAGGAGCTATGGGGTGCAGCGGAACCATGGGGCGGTTGCCAACCTGGCCCGGGTCATCGGGCAGGAGGGCTCTGCCCTGGCTGCGTCCCCGGTTAATGATTGCCGAAGCGATATAAGCGGGTGTGGGGCATGTAGAGCCTTGCTTTTCCCACCCACTCCCTTCCCCCGTAGCCACAGCACCAGCCCAGCCTTCGCCCCGGCCGGGTAAGAGGGAGGTTAGAGCCCATCCCCGTGGTTTCAGGGCTCGCCGGCACACAGGGCTTTTGGTGGAGGGGGGGCTGCTTTGCCCGTGGGGCGTCCGTGAGCCAACTCGTCCGTGGGTGAACTCCTTCATGGACGAACTCGGCCGTGGGCGAACTCGGCGTCTCCTCCCG